ACACACACACACACACACACACACACACACACACACACACACACACACACACACACTCTGATTTACTATTTCGTACAATAAGCAATATTAGCATAAACTAATTATGCATTACTTGGATATAAGTTTTTATTATTTGCTATCGAGTTTTAGTTACTCACTGGCGATAACGCCGACAACCAGCAAAACTGCTAACTTCATTATCTCGATGGTCGTAATTCGGTAACCAGGTCCACAACACTTGCAAATTAAATACGTAGATCACTCAGTACGTAGTTCTCTTTTATATCCTTGTGCTTGATCTTATATAACAGCTGGTTTTATTTACCCCGTATTACATTGGACGCACATTAATTACTTTATCTATTGCGTTGCGAATAACGTTTGCAGATCTTATATTTGTTCAGTACATTGACAATCAAGAGAAAAACACCTTTATAATCTCATAATTTATCCTATACTTCCTACATAGCATAGGTAATTCAAGAAGAATTCAGTCATATGAAGAATTCATTTCAATCATTTCTTTTTCCTGAACTAAAATTTGAAGAATTCTTTTTACATCTGAAAATGAACTCAGAATTGGTGATATGCAACTAAATTCTCTTTGAATTCTCTATTATTTGGGTTCTTTCTTATCGATAACTGAAGTATCATATATAGTTATACATTTCTAGTTTAATTCTATATTAAATGTATAATATTTCAATATTTATTCGCATAAATTATTTTGTTTTTTCGAAAACAAAAAAAATTACTTCTTAACTAATAAAACTATATTTCATGTATAAAATATAAATTTATATTTGTTCAATTATCTATGATAATAATATTAGAGTAAAACGTGTGACACTTTATTATTACAGGTTGACTTGCACACACAATGTTTGAGAGAGTGTATATCATCATAAATACGTAGTGGTAAATAAAATTCTTTACTTTCTTTTATTCGATAACACGAAAAGGAATAGCTACAAATCAATTAATATTCTCCACTGACATCACATTATGCAAAATGTCATTTGTATCCGTTAAGTAATGATTGTCGAAAAATATGTTTTATTATGAGTTAATTATAATAATTATTGGAAAATGTTTTTTCTTGCCACTGGAGTAAAGCGACCTGTTTATTGCGACAGAATAGGGAAACCACGGAAAGATAAGGATACAAGCTGCCAATGTTGCTTTGAATCAACTCTACAATACGTCGAATCCTACAGTACAAATTCCGGAGGATTTCAATAGTTTTTGCAAGCCTTTCTATAGAAGGATTTTAGCGATAACTCGTTCATTATCGTTATGTTTCCCGGGATAACTACTGACTTAGAATCAGGTTGTCGACGTATTGATAGTGAAATCTTAAGTATTCGTTTTTCGAGCATAGAACTTGTAGGTTGAAGTTTATACGTTCCAAATTAATAAAAAAAAGTTATGAGGTCTCAATCCCGAGAGCGTCGTTCAGGCAATTGTTGAATTGACTTCTCGATTCTTGAGATATCTTGTGTCTAAGCAATAAAATACCATTAAAGACACGTTGTATGTAATTTTGACCGGTTTATTTTCCGCAAACCTCAATTATCAACAAATTTGTGAATCCCAAATCTCGAATTGAGAAATGTCCGAGGACAAGCTGTATATAAATTACGCTCCATTCAACGAAATTGTAACAGAACCTACTATTACGGGTACTATATAAGCTTTTTGAACGTATTTGTTGAACAAAATTAGTTGAATGAAAATTGGGATCTACATATACGTTACTTAGAAGAGGGTAATTTTTATGTAGATATATAATAATTTCGGTTATGGTACTTGCAAACAGAGAAATTTATAGTGGAAGTTTCTAAAACATTCTATATTATTACTTGTATTTTTATTGTATCATTAAACATTTTTGCTACGTATTTTGCTTTTTATTAATTTATTATTAGCAAGATAAACTTTACTGACAATTTATTTTCAAGTACTACTAAAAACATAATGAGTTTGAAAAGAATTTATATAAAGACAAGAAACTATATTATCCTCTCTGTATTTAAGTTCTAAGATTACAGAAATTTGTTTGCAATTTTTAATGCAATATTTCCTACGTGTACTTTTGGTTAATAATTTTTCTTATATAAAAGTTTAATTTATGAAGAGAAATGTACACGAAAATTTTTTTAAATAATATTTTTATTGTTTATTTTATGCTATTTTGTCAATTCTTTACAAAATAATAGTGATAATACCGACATGTTTTACACGCGGCAAGTGAAACTTCAAATAGTATTTAGAATTTAAATTGCGACTGTGATTATTCAACTGTGAGCAATCGACTGTAATTATTCGTATTATCAGCATATGTCTTGTGACTACTTGATGAAATCCACATAGTAATAGACATTAATGAATACATCAGCTTTATCCTAGCCACAAGGCAAAATCCAAGAGACGATACTACAGAGCTCACTGTTGAGAAAAGGAGGATCGCCGCTGTCACCCTGAGAAATTGTACATTTTTATTTGATGATTCGTTCAATCTGTTCCCAATGAAAATACTTCTACATGTATATCATCATTTAATGCATCTGGCATATGATACGATAAGACACTCATTTGACTTGCGCCTTTCCCAATTTTCTCCAAGATGCATATACGTTTTCGATTAGTGAATGCATTACCATATGGCATTCACTTGTGTGCGGCTAGGTAGTTGGTCTGGCTCAAAACGTTTACTATAATTTATTTAAATATTAGCGCAGAGTCTGAATTAATACTGGTTTTTCCCTATCTGTTTACCAAACCACAATAGTTGTCATCGCCGTAATTCTTTAGCTTGCAAAACATCGTGGCCTTTATTGAGATTTCAACAGAACTATGCAGAAATCTTTTCATCGATTCTTTTATGATATCGAATAGTTATGTAACTTTGTGTTATTAAATATGATATTGATTTCATTATTATATTTAATACGAAGTTTTCTAACAGTATACGTTATAATGGACAAAAAGACGAAAAATTCCTTGTGTTAGGAATTTATACGTACATATTATTATTTTAGTTCGATTTCAGAGACAATTATTTAATTAGTTTTCTAGATTTATTGTGCGTGCTATTTATATAACACGACAGCTAAAACTCGTCTTCGAGAGAGAAATATCAAAGTAAGATTGTAAAATAAGGAAATTAGCGATAAACGAGATAAAATGTACGAATCTATGAGTATTACTATACGAGTATTGTAATGTTTGACGTGTGCAATGAACTCATAAAATATTAAAAATTATAAAAATAAATAGTAATACTCGTAATCCCTAATCTACTATATCGTATAATTAATTTTTATATTATTTTACCTTTTTGTTATATACATATCGTAACATACTACTCATATTAACAATAAATATAATTGCACAAAAATTACAAAACTTTATTTTTTATGTGAAAACATAATAAATGTAATTGGGCAAAAATTATAATATTTCTCCTTTATTTTGATAATATTGGAGCTATTTTAACAATGATAAAAGCACTCAAATAATTACAACAATTTTGTAATAAGATGTCTAGAGTGCATAATAATTTCAAGTAAATATTTAATAATTTCTATCATACTTCCCATATTGTTTCAGAAATTTTGTTGTAATTTTTATTACAACAAATTTTCTTCGAATACTAATTTCTTTAATTTAATTATCGGCCTCATAAAACAAAGTTTATGTCAGAAAGAGAAATATATATAAAATATATTTCAAATAATATTTTTTATTGCTTATTTTATGCTTTTATATCATTTCTATTTCTACATATTAATAACGTTAGCAACGTGTTTCACACGTTGTAACTGAAAATTACAAGAGATAATGTCTGAAATATAGATCGCCGGTCGACTGTGATTATTCGAATGATCAACACTTCTGTTGACATTGCCGAATCCAGGCCCCATAATGGGCAACATTAGTGAATACATCAGGTACGCCCACAGCACAGGGTGTGCCAAAGGAGACGACACCAATAAGTTGACCGTCGGAAACGAGAGGACCGCCGCTGTCACCCTAAGAAATTGTATATTTTTAATTAGTAATTCTTACAACTCGTTTCTTATTCTCAATGAGGATACGCATACGTATAAAAAGTCACTTTTAGATGCATTATGCATAAAATAAAATAAGACTCACCATACATGCACCTTTTCCATAGCTGTTAAAGGTACATAACTGTTTATAAGTAGTGCCTGAATGCACTTTTCGGCATTCACTATGGCTCAGCACCCTCGTCGTGACATACTGAAGCATTGTCGGCGTACCTGCATTTACTCCAAGCATTCCCCATCCGCTTACTACAGCATTATTTTGGCCAGTGGCAGGATCTGAAGTTGCTGGAAAAATTGACTGTTGTAGACCGCTGAAGGTCATCGGTTCTGCCAACTAGAAGAAAAAAACTAGTTTCAGATTGTTGTACAAGTAACACATCCTCGTACGCGCTTCAGAAGAACTAAGAATTATGCTTACAGTGATCAAAGCGATATCGTTACTGACGGTATTCGGGTTGTACTCTGGATGCACTTGAATGCACATGATCTGGTGTACTTGACCACCATTTTCTATGTCGTTTGTTCCAGTTACAACTGTCTGCAGACCGGATATTTTTGTTGAATTAAACAGAAGTAGCAGAATGAATTAGAAAATGATAGTACAAAGCGCTGAAAATAAGAGCTATCGCATCTCTAGTTTTTCTATATTATATTTACAATATATATATAAGAGCAAGCAAATTAATCGAACGAATTGTTCTTACTAACTACTCTTACTTACGTACTAGGCCGTTCGTATTTGCAGGCGATGGCATACAATGAGCAGCAGTGACGACATGTCTGTTGCTAATAATAGTTCCTCCGCAAAAATGGTTACCGTATAACTGAAGGGAAACTTGATATGGAAATTGTCCAGGTGATGCCACGTTGCCACCCACGATAGCTTCAGGTTCATCGCCATATACATCTGTAGTTAATAATTTTAAGTCAGTAATCATTTATTACTTCGCCTAAAGATGTTTCACTTAATACATATACAGGGATAAGATTAGATCGAACAGGACAAAAAATTTCTTTTCTTAGTCGCGAACAATCCCATAAAACTATGAGTTATTAATTAAAGAAGATAGATGCATGAGGGTGTGAGCGGGATACGGTGCAAAATGTGACAGTAAGTATAATTTATGTTGTGCTCTTGTTCACATTAAAATAAACTAGCACAAGAAAGTTCTTTATCATTTTGTGAACAACCATGTAGATTTTTAAGTTATTAATTAATAGAAATAGAAAAAAAATTGTTTAGGCATCCTTGTATTAGACACTTGTATGTAATAGTTAAAACGTATCTACGTGTTTTACTACATAGTTCTTCTACATGTCTTCTACACCTTATTGTCTTCTACATATGTTATTTTTACACATTTTTATAGATATATAATAATTAATATGTGTAACATTATAGAAAACTATTTAAAAAAAAAATAGTGTTGATAATACTATTTGTATATTTTAACTTCTTTTACTTAATAATTCTTTTTCTCTCATACTCTCTGGTATACTATTTTATACAACAAACAATATTAACATACGCTAATTATGCATTGCTTGGATGTAAATTTTTTATTTTTTATTATCGAATTTTTGTTACTCACTGGCGATAACGCCGACAACCAGCAAAATTGCTAATTTCATTATTTCGATGGTCGTAATTCGGTAATCAAGTTCACAAAAAATTGCAAACTGGATACGTAGATTACTCAGAGTTCCCTTTTATATCCTTGTGCTTGACCTTGTATAACAGCTGCTTTTATTTACTTCGTATTACACTGGACGCACATTAATTACTTCATCGATTGTGTTGTTAATAACGTTTGCAGATCTTATATTTATTCAGTGCATTGACGGTCGTGCGAAAAACACCTTTGTAATCTCATAATTTATCATACACTTCTTTGTTGTCGATAGCTGAAGTACCATATAGTCATACATATCTATTTTAATTCTATATTAAATATAGCAGTTTAACATTTATTCGCATAAGTTGTTTTGTTTTGTCGAAGAAGAAAATGAAAATTGCTTCTTAATTAATAAAGCTATATTTCACACAAAAAATACAAATTTATGTTTGTTCTATTATCTGTGATAATAATATTAGATTAAAATGTATATAACATTCTGTTATTAGAGGCTGACCTTCACACACGATGTCTGAAAGAGAGTATAATATTAATATAAACACAATGTGGTAAAAATATTTGTTTTTATTTTCTTCTGTTCTATACACGGAGAAAATAATAAAAAACTCATTTCAAGTAACTTAACAGTCTTTTTTACTGTTATTATCAGTCAGTTTCTTATTATTTTTCTGTTCTATACACGGAGAAAATTCAGAGTAGATAAAAATTAGTATTCACCACTGATATCACGTCGTAAAATATCATTTGTATCCATTAAGTAATGTCTGTCGAAAAATATGGTTTATTGCAAGATAATTATAACATAATTATTACAAAATGTTTTTATTTTGCCGCTCGAGTAAAACGGCTTGGTTACTGCGACAGAATAAAAAAACAGTGGAAAGAGAGGGACACGAGCTGCCGATATTACCTTTAATCAACACATCAAAGCCTAGAAGTACAAGTTCCATATGATTTCAGTGGTCTCTGCAAGCTCATCTATAGAAGGACTTAAGCGATAGCTCGTTTGTTATTGTTTTTTTCCCGGGTTAACTACTGATGTCGAAACATGGCAGGTATCGGTAGTGAAATATCGAGCTTACGTTGTTCGTGCATAGGCTGAGGTCTGTACGTTACAAATGGGTAAAAGAAAGTCGTGATGTCCGAGTTTCGAGAGCAGCCCGTCGGTCAAACAATTACGGAATTAACTTCTCGAACCCTTAAACATCTTGTGCCTAAGCAAAAAAGTGTCATTAAAAACAGCACTTGTATGTGATTTTTTCCCGTTTATTTCCGCAAATCTCAATTATCAACAAAATTGTGAATCCCAAATATCCAGTTGAGGAATGTCCGAGGATGAGTCCCAAAGTTACGCAAAAAAGTTACGAAATTGTAACAGGACTTACTATTACGAGTACTATACGCGCTTTTTTAAATATACACGTATTTGAACAAAATTAGTTGTATGAACGTTGAGATCTATACGTGCGTTACTTACAAACGGGTAATTTTTATATAAATATATAATAATTTCGGTTATAATATCTACAGACAGGGAAATATATAATTGAATTTACTAAAACAGTTTGTATAATTATTTGTATTTCTATTGTGTCATTAGAAATTTTTGCTACGTTTCTTGAAAAATTTATTATTAGCAAGATAAACCTTACTCACAATATCTTATTTTCCTGTACTATACATAGCGAATTTGAAAAAAATTTGTATGAAGAAAAAAAATTACATTATCTTCTCCATATTTATGGTCCAAAAATATAGAAATATGTTTGCAATTTTTACTGCAATATTTTCTACGTACATCTTTTGGTTAATCATTGATCTTATACAAAATTTAATTTGGGAAAAGAAATATGCACGAAATTTCTTTTAAATAATATTTTTTATTGTTTACTTTAGGCCATTTTATCAATTCTTTGCAAAATAATAATGATATTACCGATGTATTTTATACACGGCAAGTGAAACTTTAGGTAGTATCTATAATTTAGATTGTGACCGTGGTTATTCAACTTTGACGGGTCGATTGTGATTATTCGTGTTATCAATACATGCCTTGTAACTTATATAACCAACTTTTTTTGCACACATACAACAATAATCTTTAATCGAATGTATTGTAGCAACTGCTTTGTATGTACCAAGTATTTATATTTATTTTCATTTTTAACGCAATGAGCAGCAGTGAAAACATGTATGTTACTATAATAAGACTACTCCCATAAACATTAAATTTAGATATTTGAAAAAAAATTGATACATTATACAAACTGATCGTTTCCGTCGTCGTTGCCACGTTTCTGCTTGCAAAATTTCGTACATTCGTCATATGTGCATAGAGCTTGTAAACTGCATCCTGTACGTTGGAGACTGGGAAAAGGAAGTCGTGGTACATAAAGAAAACTGCTGTGATTGATAAATTCACGTGTTCTATATTTAGAGGACAACTTTATGTGATTTTAAGTTTACCTAGATATAGCATTAGAAGTTGTTGCTATCCGCTCATAAATACAATTCTCATAGACACAGTTCTATCCACTATCAGAATGCTACGATTACTAGAAAGTCTTGTATGCACAGACGAGAAATAACAAAAATATTTTATGGCAAATATATTTAGGCAAGTGACATCTTTAGTTTCCTCCGTGTTAATGTTTGAGTTCTGAAAGCAATCCTTCGGTCAAATAATTGCGGGCTAGACTCTTTGAACATATTATATACAAGCAATTCGACGATCATTAAATATAGCGCGGTGCATATGAGTCTGTTTATTTTTTGCGATGTTCGTCCATCGACAGAACTTTGAGTCGCGGAAACATTCTACATTATAACTGACAAAAAGGTGAAAAATTTCTAGTATTAGGAATTTACAGATACGTATTATTATTTTAGTTTGACTTCAGAGGAATTTATTTAATTAATTTCTTCTATTTATTGTGCGTGATTTTTATATAACATGTCAGCTAAAACTTGAATTCGAGAGAAAAACATCAAAGTAAGACAATTGTGAAATAAGGAAACCAGCGATAAACGACGTGACGTTTTGTATGTATGAATATTACCATACGAGTATTGTAATGTTTGACCTGTGTATTTTAAATAAAGTCATAAAATATTGAAAATTATAAGAATAAACAGTAAAACACTATGGTTTCAGACATTTTGTTCTAATTTTTATTACAACAATTTTTTTCCTATATACTTTAAAATTAATTAACGGTCTCATAAGAAAAAATTTAAGTCGAGAAGAGAAATATGTACAAAATTTATTACGAATAATATTTTTTTATTGTTTACTTTATACTTTTATATAATTTCTATATCTACAAATTAATTACGTTAGCAACGCGATTCACACGTTGTAATTAAAAATTCTGGATAATCCCTGAAATATAGATGGTCAGTCAGGCATACGATTATTCAAGTGATCAGCACATCCGTTGACATTGCTTAATCCAGGACTGGAAATGGTAAACATTAGTGAATACATCAGGATAACCGACACCACAGGGAATGCCCCAGGAGACGACACCAGCAAGTTCATTATTGCAAATGAGAGGACCGCCGCTATCACCCTAAAAAATTGTATATTTTTAATTAGTGATTCTTCCAACTCGTTTCTTATTCTCAATGAGGATATGTATACGTATAAAAAGTCATTTTTGAATGTCATTTTTTAATACATAAGATAAAAATACTCACCATACAGGCACCTTTTCCATAGCTGTCAAAGCAACATAGCTGTTTCTCAAAAGTGTTTGAATGCGTTTTGCGGCAGTCATTAAGAGTCATCGCGGTCAACTCGACATATTGTAACAATGTCGGCGGGCTTCGGTTTGCACCGAGCTGTCCCCATCCGCTTACTATACAACGAGTTCGGCCATTAGCATAATCTGCACTCGCTAGAGAAATTGGACGTTGTAGATTGTTGAAGGTTATCGGTTGTGTCAACTAGAAGAGAAAAAACGTTTCGGATTGTTGTGCAAACATCACATCTCCGTAAGCGCTTCAGGAGAATTGGGAATTATACTTACAGTGATCACAGCTATATCGTTCCAACTGTTACTGTCGTACTGTGGATGCGTTTGAATGCATTTAATGTGGTGAACTTGACCGCCACTTAGAATGTGGTTTGTTCCAGTCACAACAGTCTGCGTACCAAATATTTTTGTTATATTAAATAAAAGTAACAGAGTAAATTAGAAAATGTCGATACGAAGTGCTGAAAATAAGAGCTACTACGTCTCTACTTTTTCTATATCATATTTATAATATGTATGTAAGAAAAAACCAATAATCACACGAATCGTTCTCACAAGCTTCTGTTACTTATATACCATGGTACTCTGCTGATTCTGAGGCGGTATACAATGAGCAGCAGTGATGACAGTTCTCTCGTCAATAATAGTTCCTCCGCAAATATGGTAGCCATTTTGCCGAAGGGAGATTTGATGTGGAAATTGTCCAGGCGATGCCGTGTTGCCACCCACAATAGGTTCAGGTTCATCGCCGTATACCTCTGTAGTTAATAATTTTAAGGCCGTAATCATTTACTACTTCGCTTAAAAATGTTTCACTTAATATATATGCAAGGAAAGATTATAGAACTGGACAAAAAGTTTCTCTGCTTAGTCGTGAACAACCACGTAAAACAATAATTTATTAATTAAAGAGGATCGACGAATGAGTGTGTGAGTGCGCAGGATATGGTGCAGAATGTGACGATAAGTATAATTTATGTTATGCTCTTATACATATTAAGACAAACTGACACAAAAAAGTTTTTTATTATTTTGCAAACAACCACAATAAATTTTTAAGTTATTAATTAATAAATGTTAGTGAATTTGTGTGTAGACAGCTTTGTATCAGACACCTATATGTAATAGCTGAAATATATCTATGTATTTTACTATATAATTATTTCACATGTATTATTTTTACACATTTTTATACAAGTATAATAATTATGTGTATAATATGTATAATATATATAAATACATATAAACATATGTGTGTGTGTATGTGTGTGTGTAATATTATTAGTATTATATATATAATATATGTGACGTTCAGCATTTATAAAAAATGTGTTCATACTACCATCTGCATTTTTTAATTTCTTCCATTTATTAATTATCTTTCTCCCTCACTCTCTCTCACACACACACATATACTTTCTGCTTTTACTATTTTGTACAATAAACAATATTAACATACGCTAATTATGCATTGCTTGGATGTAAAATTTTAATTTTTATTATCGAATTTTTGTTACTCACTGGCGATAACGCCGACAACCAGCAAAATTGCTAATTTCGTCATCTCGATTCGTAATTCGGTAATCAAGTCCACAAAAAAATTGCAAACTGGATACGTAGATCACTCAGAGTTCCCTTTTATATCCTTGTGCTTGACCTTGTATAACAGCTGCTTTTATTTACTTCGTATTACATTGGAAGCACATTAATTACTTCATCGATTGTGTCGTTAATAACGTTTGCAGATCTTATATTTATTCAATGCATTGATGGTCGTGCGAAAAACACCTTTGTAATCTCATAATTTATTATACACGTCTTTGCTGTCGATAGCTGAAGTATCATATAGTCAAACATATCTATTTTAATTCTATATTAAATGTGTAGTAGTTTAACATTTATCCGCATAAGTTATTTTGATTTGTCGAAGAAGGGAATGAAAATTGCTTCTTAATTAATAAAGCTATATTTCATACAAAAAATACAAATTTATGTTTGTTCTATTATCTGTGTTAATAATATTAGATTAAAATGTGTATAACATTCTGTTATTAGAGACATAGACATACACACACGATGTCTGAAAAAGGATATAATATTATCATAAATACAATGTGGTAAAAATATCGGTCTTTATTTTCTTCTGTTCTATACACGGAAAAAATGTAGAGTAGATAAAAATAAATTAGTATTTACCACTGATATCACGTTGTATAAAATATCATTTGTATCAATTAAGTAATGTCTGTCGAAAAATGGTTTATTGCAAGTTAATTATACATACATATTGCAACATAATTATTAGAAAATGTTTTTATTTTGCTGGAGTAAAACGGCTTGGTTACTGCGACGGAATAAAAAAAAACACTGGAAAGAGAGGGACACGAGCTGCCGATATTACCTTTAATCAACACGTCAAAGCTAGAAGTACAAGTTCCGGATGATTTCAGTGGTCTCTGCATGCTCTTCTATATTAGGACTTAAGCGGTAGCTCGTTCGTTATTGTTTTTTTCCCGGGTTAACAACTGATTCGGAGTTTGTCGAAACATGGCAGATATCGGTAGTGAAATATTGAGCTTACGTTGTTCGAGCATAGAACTTATAGGCTGAGATCTGTACGTTACAAATTGGTAAAAGAAAGTCGTTGTGATGTCTGAGTTTCGAGAGCAGCCCATCGGTCAAACAATTACGGAATTGACTACTCGATCCCTTTAACATCTTGTATCTAAACAATAAAGTGTCATTAAATACAGCACTTGTATGTGATTTTGGCCTGTTTATTTCCGTAAACTTCAATTATCAACAAAATTTTGAATCCCAAATATCGAGTTGAGGAACATCCGGGGCGAGTCACAAATAAGTTACGCTCTCTTCAACAAAATTGTAACAGAACTTAATATTATACTTTTTGAAATATACACGTATTTGATGAACAAAATTAGTTGAATGAAGGTTGAGATCTATACGTGCATTACTTACAAACGGGTAATTTTTATGTAAATATATAATAATTTTAGTTATAATATCTACAGACAGAGAAATTTATAATAAAAGTTACTAAAACATTTTGTATTATTATTTGTATTTCTATTGTGTCCTTAGAAATTTTAGCTATGTTTCTTGAAAAATTTATTATTAGCAAGATAAACCTTACTGAAAATTCTTATTTTCCTGTATTGCACACAGCGAAATTGAAAAGAATTTATTAAGAAGAAAAAAAGAATTTATTAAGAAGAAGAAAAACTACATTATCTTCTCCGTATTTATGGTCCAAAATTATAAATATTTGTTTGCAATTTTTACTGCAATATTTTCTACATACATCTTTTGGTTAATCATTGATCTTATACAAAATTTAATTTGGGAAAAGAAATATGCACGAAATTTCTTTTAAATAATATTTTTTATTGTTTACTTTAGGCCACTTTATCAATTCTTTGCAAAATAATAATGATATTACCGATTAGTTTTACACATAGCAAGTGAAACTTCAGGTAGTATCCATAATTTAGATTGTGACCGTGATTATTTAACTTCGACGGGTCGATTGTAATTATTCGTATTATCAGCACATATCTTGTGACTGCTTAATGAAGTCCAGATAGTAGCAGACAGTAGTAAATACATCAGTTTTAACTTACCGCAGGGTGAAATCCAAGAGACGACACCACGTGGCTCCTTCGTTGACAATAAGAGGATTTTCGCTGTCATCCTAAGAAATTGTACATTTGTATTTAGTGACTCGTTCAATTTGTTCTCAATGAAGATATCTCTACATATACATCATCATAACATATAATACCATAAAACACCTGCGTCTTTCCCAATTTTCTCCAAGATGAATACATGTTTTTAATTGGTGAATGCATTACGATATGGCATTCGCTTATGTGCGGCTAAGCAGTCGTTCTGGCTCAAAACTAAGATTAACTGTGATTTACTTAATTATAGGCAAAAAGTTTCAATTCATACTGCGCTTTTCCTATCCGCTTACCAAACCACGATAGTTGTCATCGCCGTAATGCTTACTGTCTAAAGCAATCGGACTTTAGAGACTGTTTTTCGTAATTGCCCTTTCCAACTGAAGAAAAAGAGTTTCAAATTGTTGCCCACGCATTATATCTCTGTATATTTTTAGAAAGAACTAAAAAGTAGGCTTACAGTGATCACAACAATATTTCTGAATATCTAGAAACTTTATTTGGTTAACCAGAAATCTGGTTAATTTAAGCAGAATTCTGATAGCTTCAACTAGAATTTTGATTCATTCGTATATCTCACCAGATATTGGGTTGATATAACCAACTTTTTTTGCATACGTGCAACAATAATCTTTAATCGAATGTATTGTAGCAACTGCTTTGCACGTACCAAGTATTTATGTTTCTTTTCATTTGAAAACATGTCTGTTACTATAATAATTTTATCAATGAAAACATGTCTGTTACTATAATAAGACTATTCCCATAAACATTAAATCTAGATATTTGAAAAAAACTTGATACATTATACAAACCGACCGTTTCCGTCGTCGTTACCACCCACGTTTCTGCTTGCAAAATTTCATACATTCGTCATGTGTCCATAGAGTAAAATGCATCCTGTACGTTGGAAACTGGTAAAAGGAAGATCGGGTACATAAAAAAACTGATGTGTAAATACACGCGTTCTATATTTAGAGAATAACTTTATGTGATTTTAAATTTACTTAGATATAGCATTAGAAGTTGTTTTTGTTATCCGCTCATAAATACAATTCTCATAAACACAGTTCTATCCACTATCAGAATGCTACGATTATTAGAACCGTCTTGTATGCACAGACGAGAAATAACAATATTTTGTTATGGCAGTCCTACTTATTATTTAGGCAAGTGACGTCTTTAGTTTCTTCCGTGATAGTGTTTGAGTTCTGAGAACAATCCTTCGTTCAGGTAATTGCGGGATTGACTGCTAGACTCTTTGAACATATTATATACAAGCAATTCGACGCTCATTAAATACAGCGCTGTGCATATGAGTCTGTTCATCTTTTGCGATGCTCGTCCATCGACAGAACTTTGAGTCACGGAAACATTCTACGTTATAATTGACAAAAAGATGAAAGATTTCTTGTGTTAGGAATTTACACGTGCGTATTATTATTTTAGTTCGATTTCAGACGAAATTTAATTAATTATTTAATTAATTTAATTAATTTCCTCTATTTATTGTGCGTACTATTTATATATCACGACAGCTAAAACTTGAATTCGAGAAAAAAACATCAAAGTAAGACAATTGTGAAATAAGGAAACTAGCGGTAAACGATGTGAAGTTTTGAATCTATAAATATTACCATACGAGTATTGTAATGTTTGACGTGTGTATTTCAAATGAAGTCATAAAATATTGAAAATTATAAGGATAAATAGTAAAATACTATAGTTTCAGACATTTTGTCTTAATTTTTATTGCAACAATTTTTCTTCGTATACAGTTTTAGATTAATTTTAGATTAATTATCGATCTCATAAAAAAATGTTCATGTTAGGAAGAAAAATATGTACAAAATTGGTTACGAATAATATTTTTTTATTGTTTACTTGATGCTTTCATATAATTTCTATTTCTACATATTAATAACGTTAGCAACGCGATTCACACGTTGTAACTAAAAATTCTGGATAAGGCCTGAAATATAGATCATCGGTCACGCACGCGACTGTGATTATTCAAATGATCAGTACATCTTTTGACATTGGCTAATCCAGTCCTGATAATGGTAAGCTTTAGTGAATACATCAGGATAACCGACACCACAGGGAATGCCCCAGGAGACGATACCAGCAAGTCGACCGTTGCAAACGAGAGGACCGCCGCTGTCACCCTAAGAAATTGTATATTTTTAATTAGTAATTCTTCCAACTCGTTTTTTATTCTCAATGAGGATATGTGTACGTATAAAAAGTTATTTTTGAATGTATAATACATAAGATAATGAAAGATACTCACCATACAGGCACCTATTCCATGTTTCTCAAAGCAACATAGCTGTTTCTCAAAGACATTTGAATGCACTCTGCGGCAATCACTAAGGGTCGTCGTGGTCAACTCGACATATTGTAGATATGTCGGCGGGCCTTGTCTTGCACCGAGCTGTCCCCATCCGCTTAGTACACAACGAGTTCGGCCATCAGCATTATCTGCATTCGCTAGAGGAATTGGTTTTTGTACCTGGTTGAAGGTCATCAGTTGTTCCAACTAGAAGAAATAAAGCATATCGGATTGTTGTGCAAACGTCACATCTCCGTACATGCTTCAGGAGAATTGGAAATTATGCTTACAGTGATCACAGCTATATCGTTCCTATTGGTACGCGTGTCGTACTGTGGATGCACTTGAATGCTTTTGATGCGGTGTTCTTGACCGCCACTGCTAATGTGGTTTGTTCCAGTCACAACAGTCTGCGTACCAATTATTTTTGTTGAATTAAATAGATATAACAAAGTAAATTAGAAAATGTTGATACAAAGCGCTGAAGATAAGAGCTACTACGTCTTTAATTTTTCTATATCATATTTATAACATGTATGTAAGAAAAAACCAATAATCAAACGAATCGTTCTCACAAGCTACTGTTACTTATATACCATAGTACTCTGCTGATTCTTAGACGGTATACAATGAGCAGCAGTGACAATATGTCTGTTGCTAATAATAGTTCCTCCGCAAATATGGTAGCCATTTTGCCGAAGGGAGATTTGATATGGAAATTGTCCAGGCGATGCCGTGGCCCCACCCACGATAGGTTCAGGTTCATCGCCGTATACTTCTGTAGTTAATAATTTTATATATATAAGTCCGTAATATATTTCATTTATTTCCTTTTCTAAAAATGTTTCATTTAATATGTATGCAGGGAAAGACTATAGAACTGGACAAAAAGTTTCTCTACTTAGTCGTGAACCACGTAAAACAATAATTTATTAATTAAAGAAAATCAACGAGTGAGTGTGTGAGTGCGCAGGATACGGTAATGTAGAATTTGAATATGACGGTAAGTATAATGTGCGTTATGCTCTTATATATATTAAGACAAATTGACACAAAAAAGTTTTTTATTGTTTTGTGAACAACAACAACAGATTTTGAAGTTATTAATTAATAAATGTTAGTGAATTCGTGTGTTGCATGTGTGTGTGTGTGTGTAGACAGCTTTGTATCAGATATCTATATGTAATAGCTGAAACGTATCTATGTATTTTACTATATAATTCTTTCACATGTATTATTTTTACACATTTTTATACATGTATAATAATTATACAGAGTGAGGAAAAAGTATGGAAACCCTGAAAAATCTAAAAAAATATAAGTTTTACAGAAAAATGTTTCAAATAAAAGTTGTAAGATTTAAAAAGGTATATTCAATAGTCTCATCAATTTGACCCTGGCTGGCGTCGTTAAGGTGAAGTCAAATTCACCTTGAATTTTTTAAATAGAACACCCTATTTTTTATTGCATATTCTTATAGTTTTTCTCAATACCTTTACAAAGCACTATAATTTTATTCATTTTGTCTCAGCCGTTTCAAAGTTATTCAGAATTTTACAGTGAGAAGTAATAGACATCCGAAGACAAGGTCAGAATATGATCCAGCCAACTAAGGCAAGATCGGAGGATGATCTAAGAGCTTAGATCATCTTCTGATCTTGCCTTAGTTGGCTGGATCATATTCCGACTTTATGTTCGGGTGTCTATTACTTCTTAGTGTAAAATACTCTATAACTTTGAAACGGCTGACCCAAAATGAATAAAATTATAGTGCCTTGTAAAGGTATTGAGAAAGACTATAAGAATATGCAATAAAAAATAGGGTGTTCCATTTAAAAAATTCATGACTTTGACTTCACGACTTAACGACGCCAGCCAGGGTCAAATTGATGAAACTATTGAATAGACCTTTTTAAATCCTACAACTTTTATTTGAAACATTTTCTGTAAAACTTATATTTTTTTTAGATTTTTCAGAGTTTCCATACTTTTTCCTTATCCTGTATGTATAATATGTATACACGGTATTCGAAACCTTTCTTGACACAATTCGTACGAAATTAGAATGCATTAAACGACAACAGAAAAATCAAATACCATTTGGCGAAATTCACAAAATTTTCGAGTAATTAATTATTTTGTCTGAGCAAATAAGCGCTCAGGCCGACGCGCGACCGTGATACATGCGAATCATGGCTCGTTGCATCCTTCCACCCACAGCTACGCTGTGTCTTGTAGCTATGGCTGGAGAGACGCAGCAAACCACGATTTGCGTATATCACGGTCGCGCGCGGGCAAGAGTTTATTTGTTGAAACAAAATAATTAATTCCTGGAAAACTATTGCAAATTTCGCAAAATGGTATTTGACTTTTTTGTTCCGTTTAATCCATTCTACTTTCTTACGATGTGTGTCAAGAAAAGCTTCGGACACCTGTATATAAATACATATACATATATATAAGTGTGTGTGTGTGTGTGTATTATTTGAATTATATGTATAATATATGCGACATTACGCAATTTTAAAAAATGTGTTCATGCTATTATCTGTATTTCTTAATTTCTTTCATTTATTATTTATCTTTCTCCCTCCTTCTCTCTCTCACACACACGCTCACATACACATTCTGATTTACTATTTCGTACAATAAATAATATTAGCATACGCTAATTATGCAATACTGTATATGCCTAGATGTTTTTATTTTTTTTTTATCAAGTTTTGTTTACTTACTGGCGATAACGCCGACAACCAGCAAAATTGCTAACTTCATTATCTCAGTGGTCGTAATTCGGTAACCAAGTCAACAACAAATTGCAAACTGGATACGTAGAACACTCAGCGTTCTCTTTTATATTCTTTTGCCTGACCTTATATAACAGCTGCTTTTATTTACTCCGTATTACAGTGGACGCACATTAATTACTTCATCAATTGTATTGTTAATAACGTTTGCAGATCTTATATTTGTTCAGTGCATCAACGGTCGAGCGAAAAACACCTTTGTAATTTCATAATTTATCATTCACTTCCTTGCTGTCAATGGCTGAAGTATCACATAGCATACATATCTATTTTAATTCTATATTAAATGTGTAGTAGTTTAATATTTATCCCCATAAATTGTTTTATTTTCTCGAAGAAGAGAATAAAAATTTCTTCTTAATTAATAAAGTTGTTTTTCACACAAAAAATACAAATTTATGTTTTTTTTATTACCTGTAATAATAATATTATATTAAAATATGTATAACATTCTGTTATTAGAGGCTGACTTTTACACACGATGTCTGAAAGAAAGCATATTATCATAAATAAAATGTAGTAAAAATACCAGTCTTTATTTTCTTCTGTTCTATAACACAAAGAAGATTCAGAATAGATACAAATCAATTCATTACTCAATAAGTATTCACCACTGATGTCACGTCATATAAAATGTGATTTATATCCATTAAATAACGACTGTCGAAAAATATGGTTTATTGAAAGTTAATTATAACATAATTATTAGAAAAAATTTTTATTTTGCCGCTGGAACAAACTGCTTGATTACTGCGACGGAATAAAAAGCAGTGGAAAGAGAGAGACACGAGCCGCTGTTACCTTTAATCAACTGCACAACACGTCGAAGCCTAGAAGTATAAGTTCCGAATGATTTCAGTGATCTCTGCAAGCTCTTGTATAGGAGGACTCGAGCAGTAGCTCGTTACTGTTTTTTTTCGCGGGATAACTACTGATTTGGAGCCAGGTTTTCAACACATGGCAGATATCGGTAGAGAAATATCGAGCGTACGTTGTCCAAGCATAGAACTTATAGGCTGAAGTCTGTACGTTACAAATTGGTAAAAGAAAGTCGTTGTGATGTCTAAGTTCCGAGAGCGGCCTGTCGGTCAGGCAATTGTGAAATTGACTTCTCAATCCCTTAAACATCTTGCGTCTAAGCAATAATCTAAAATTTATTGCTTCATTAAAAACATTACTTGAACTTGATTTTGAACCCGTTTATTTCCGCAAATCTCAGTTATCAATAAAATTGTGAAATTGTGAATTATCAATAAAATGTCGAATTGAGGAATGTCCGAGGACGAGTCGCAAACAAGTTACGCTCCCTTCAACGAAATTATAACAGAACTTACTATTATGGGTACTATACACGCTTTTTGAAATATACATGTATTTGACGAACAAAATTAGTTGAATGGAAGTTGAGATCTATACGTGCGTTACTTACAAGCGGATAATTTTTATGTAAATATATAGTTATTTTGATTGTAATATCTACGGATAGGAAAATTTATAGTGGAAGTTCCTACAACATTTTGTATTATTATTTATATTTTTATTGTATCGTTAGAAATTTTTGCTGCGTTCCTTGAAAAATTTATTAGTAGCAAGATAAACCTTACTGACAATGCTTATTTTCCTCTACTACAAAAACATAATAAGTTTGAAATGAATTTATATGAAAAAAAAAACTACATTATTTTCTCCGTATTTATGGTCCAAGATTACAGAAATTTGTTTGCAATTCTTTCTACGTACAACTTTTAGTTAATTTTATCATTGATCTTATATGAAAGTTTAATTTGGGAAAAGAAATATGCACAACATTTTTTTTAAATAATATTTTTTATTCTTTACTTTAGGCTATTTTGTTAATTCTTTAGAAAATAATAATAATATTACCGACGTGTGTTTTACACGCGGCAAGTGAAACTTCAGAATCTATAATAGAATCTATAATTTACATAGTGACCGTGATTGTTCAACTTTGACGGGACGACTGTGGTTATTCATGTTATCAGTACATGTCTTATGACTGCTTGATGAAGTCCATATAGTAGTAGACAGTAGTGAATCAGCTTTTTCGCCCTTACCGCAGAGCGAAGTCCAAGAGACGACACTACAGAGCTCCTTTGTTGATAATTAGAGGATTGCCGCTGTCACTCCAAGAAATTGTACATTTTTATGTGATAACTCGTTCAATTTGTTTCTAATAAGGATACCTCTATATATACATCATCATTTTCAGATGCATCTAACATATAATACAATAAGATACATGCGCCTTTCCTAATTTTCTCCAAAATGAATATATGTTTTCGATTGGTGAATGCATTACCATACGTTATTCGCTAATGTGCGGCTAAGTAGTCGGTCTGGCTCAAAACGTTCACTATGATTTACTTAAGTATTGGCAGAGTTTGAATTCATACTGGTCTTTCCCTATTCGCTTACTAAATCACGATAATTGTCATCACCATATTGCTTACTCGCTAGAGCAATCGGACTTTAGAGACTGTTTTTCGTGATTGCTTTTTCCAACTAGAGAAAAAAGAGTTTCATCAAGAATTGTTGCCCACGCATTACATCTCTGTATACTCTCAAGTAGAACTGAAAAGTAGGCTTACAGTGATCACAGCGATATTTCTGGTTACCTAGAAACTTTATTTGGTTGACCGGAAATCTTGTTAACTTGAGCAGAATTGTGATAGCTTTAACTAGAATTCTGATATGTTCGTATATATAAACAAACACTGGATTAATACAACCAATTGTTTTGCATACAGAAAAATCATTAATCGATTGATTTGTAGCAACTGCTCTGCACGCACCAAGTATTTATGTTTATTTTCATCCTCAACACAACGACCAGCAGTGAGAACATGTCTGTTACTATAATAAGACTACTCCCGTAAACATGAAATCTGAATATTTGAAGAAAGACTTGATATAAACTGACATATAAACTGACTATTCCCGCAATCGTTGCCACCCACGTTGCTGCCCGCAAAATCTCGAATATTCGTCATATATACATAGAGCTTATTAGCTGCATCCTGTATGATGGAAACTGGCAAAAAGGAGTCGCAGACGGAAAAAACTACTGTTAAATTCACATATTCTATATTTAGAGAACAACTTTATGTGATTTCATATTTACTCAAACATAGCATTAGAAGCTGCTGTTGCTACATGCCTATAAATACAATTCTCGTAGGCACAGTTTTACCCACTATCAGAATGCTACGATTACTAGAATCGTCTTGTATGCACGGACAAGAAATAACAATAATATTTTATTGTAGCAAATATATTTAGGTCTTTAAATATCTTTAGTTTTCTACATGATAGTGTTTGAGTTCTGAGAGCAAACCACCCAGTACGGCTAGATTCTTTGAACATGTTGTTTACAAACAATAAGCTGTCATTAAAAACAATGGGGTGCATATTAGTTCGTCCATCTTTTGCGATGCTCGTCCATCGACAGAACTTTGAGTCGCGGAAACATTCGAACTACGTTCGAATGGACAAAAACACGAAAGATTCCTTGTATTAGAAATTTATACATGCGTATTATTATTTTAGTTCGTTTTCAAATGAAATTATTTAATTAATTTTATTGATTTATTGTGCGTTCTATTTATATAACACGACAGCTAAAACTCGATTTCGAGGAAGATACATCAAAGTAAGACAATTGTGAAATAAGGGAATCAACGATAAACGACGTGAAGTTTCGAATCTATGAATATTATCGTACAAATATTGTAATGTCTGATGTGTGTATTTTAAATGATGTCATAAAATATTGAAAATTATAAGGATAAATAATAATATTCTTAATCCTCAATGCACTATATCTTAAAATTTATATTTATATTATTTCATCTTTTTGTTATATACATATCATAACATACTACTGATACTAACAAGAAATACAATTGGACAAATATTATAAATTTTTTTTTTCAATGTGAAAATATAATAAATGTTATTCTACAAAAATTATAATACTTCTTTTTTATTATGATAATATTTGGGCTATTTTAACAATGACAAAAGCTCTCAAGTAATTACGACAATTTTATAATGAGAAGTCTAGAGTGTATAATATTTTTAAGTAAATATATAATAATTGCAATCATACTTTTTATATGGTTTCAGAAAGTTGTAATTTTTATTACAACAATTTTTCTTCGTATACAACTTAGGTTAATTCACGATCTCGTAAAAAAAATTTATGTTGGGTAGTGAAATGTGTACAAAATTTATTTTGAATAATATTTTCGTATTGTTTACTTTATGTTTTCATGCCATTTCTGTTGAATATATTAATGATATTAGCAACACGTTTCACATCATATAACTGAAAATTTTGGATAATGTCTGAAATATAGATTGCCAGTAGACTATAATTATTCGAACAATTAGCACTTCTTTTGACTTTGGCTAATCCAGTCCCGATAGTGGTAGACACCAATGAATACATCAGGTTGACCCAGAGCACATGGAATGCCCCAGGAAACAACACCAACAAGTTGACCGTTGCAAACGAGAGGACCGCCGCTGTCACCCTAAGAAATTGTATATTTTTAATTAGTGATTCTACCAACTCGTTTCTTATTCTCAATGAGGATACGTATAAAAAGTCACTTCTAGATGTATTATACATAAGACAAGGTAAGACACTCACTTGGCAAGCACCTTTTCCATAGCTGTTCAAAGTACATATCTGTTTAGCAGTAATGTCTGAATGCGCTGTTTGGCACTCAGAAGGGCTCAACAGTCTCACTTGAAGCCATTGAAGCGTTGACGAAACGCCTGAGTTTACGCTGGTCTTTCCCCATCCGCTTACTATAGCAGTATTTTGACCATCGGCATAATCTTTACTCGCTAGAGGAATTGCAGTTTGTATATTGTTCAAGGTAATCGGTTGTGTCAACTAAAATAAAAAGAATTTTTCAGATTGTTGTACAAGCATCATATCGCCGTACAGTGTTCAGCTGAGAGTTATGCTTACAGTGATCAAAGCGATATCGTCCTGAAAGTGGGTCATGCTGAACCCTGGATGCATTTGAATGCACTTGATTTGGTGTTTTTGACCACCACTTTGTGCGCTGTTTGTTCCGGTTACAATAGTCTGTGTACCGAATATTTTTGATGAATTAAATAGAAATAGCAGAGTGAATTAGAAAAAAATGATACAAAGCGCTAAAAATGAAAAAACTACCTTATTTCTAATTTTTTTATATTTTATTCATAATATATATATAAGAAAAAATCAATAACCGAACAAATCGTTCTTACTATGTGTCATTTACGTACCAAGTATTTCCAATGACTTTGGGGCGGTATACAATGAGCAGCAGTGAGGATATGTGTGCTACTAATAATAGATCCTCCGCAAATATGATCGCCGCTGCTCTGAAGGGAGATTTGATATGGAAACTGTCCAGGCGATGCCGTGTTGCCACCCACAATAGGTTCAGGTTCATCGCCGTATACTTCTGTAATTAACAATTTTAAGTCTGTAATTATTTATTACATTGCCAGAAAATGTTTCTTAGTATACAAGGTAAGATTAGATCAAACTAGACAAAAAAATTTCTCTACTTTGTCGCGAACAACCACGTAAAACTATGAATTATTAATTAAAGACTGTCGGCGAATAAATATGTGAATACGCGGGACACGATGCAGTCTGACGGTAAGTACGATTTATGTGTTATATACTTGTATACATTAACACAAACTACCATTAAAAAGTCTTTTACTATTTTGCGAACAACCACATAAATTGTTAAGTTATTAATTAAAAGAGATTAGTGAATTTTATTTGACAGCCTTATATCAGACACCTATATATTATAGTTGAAACATATCTATTTATTTTACTATATAGTTCTTCTACATGTTATTTTTACATATTTTTACGCAGGTATAATAATTAATATGTTTAACATTATAGAAAAATATTTTTAAAAAATATTTTCATGATACTATTTGTATATTTTAATTTCTTTTATTTATTAATTCTCTCTCTCTCTCTTTTTCTCTCTCTCGCTCGCTCTCTGCTTTACTATTTCGTATAATAAGCAATATTAGAATATGCTAATTACGCTTGAATGTGAGTTTTTTTATTTTTTATTATCGAGTTTTGGATACTCACTGGCGATAACGCCGACAACCAGCAAAATTGCTAACTTCATTTTGTCGATGACCGTAATTCGGTAACCAGGTCCACAACAAATAACAAACTGGATACGTAGACCACTCAGAGTTCCCTTTTATATCCTTGTGCTTGACCTTGTATAACAGCTGCTTTTATTTACTCCGTGTACTGGACGCACATTAATTACTTCATCGATTGTGTTGTTAATAACGTTTGCAGATCTTATATTTGCTCAGTGCATTGACGGTTGTACGAAAAACACCTTTGTAATCTCATAATTTATCATACACTTCTTTGCTGCCGATAGCTGAGGTATCATATAGTCATACATATCTATTTTAATTCTATATTAAATGTGTAGTATTTTAACATTTCCCCGCATAAGTTGTTTTGTTTTGTCGAAAAAGAGAATAAAAATTTCTTCTTAATTAATAAAGCTACATTTCACGCATAAAATATAAAGTTATGTTTGTTCTATTATCTGTGATAATAATATTAGATTAAAATGTGTTACATTCTGTTATTACAGTCTGACTTTCACACACAGTATCTAAAAGAGCATATATCATCATAAATACAATGTGGTAAAAATATCAGTCTTTATTGTCTTCTATTCGATAATACAAAGGGAATTCAGAATAAATACAAGTCAATTAATATTCAATACTAACATCACATTATGTAAAACGTTATTTGTATTCATTAAGTAATAATTGCCGAAAAATATGGTTTATTGCAAGTTAATTATAACATAATTGTTGAAAAATGTTTTTACTTGCCGCTGGAGTAAAACGGCTTGGTTACTGGGACTAAATACGAAAACCGCGGGAAGACACGAGCTGCTAATGTTCGATCAACTCCACAACACGATGAAGCCTACAAGTTCCGGAGGATTTCAGTGGTCTCTGCCTTTTTATAGATATTCTATAGGATTTGACCGAAAGCTTGATCGTTACCGTTCTTTTTCCTGGAATAACTACTGATTTGTAGTCAGGTTGTCGCCATATGGCAAGTATCTGGCATATTATTATTTTAGTTCGATTTAGTTCGATTTCAGATGAAATTATTTAATTAATTTTAATGATTTATTGTGCGTTCTATTTATATAACACGACAGCTAAAACTCGACTTCGAGAAAGATACATCAAAGTAAGACAATTCAACGATAAACGACGTGAAGTTTCGAATCTATGAATATTACCGTACAAATATTTTAATGTTTGATGTGTATATTTGTATATAATGTCATAAAATATTGAAAATTATAAGGATAAATAATAATATTCGTAATTCTCAATGCACTATATCTTAAATTTATATTTATATTATTTTATCTTTTTTTATATACGTATTATAACATACTCTCATACTAACAAAAAATATAATTGCACAAATATTACAAAATTTTCTTTTCAATGTAAAAATATAATAAATTTAACACAAAATTATTCCACAAAAATTATAATATTTTTTCTTTATCGTGATAATATTTGAGTTATTTTAACAACAGCTCTGAAGTAATTACGACAATTTTGTAATGAGATGTCTAGAGTGTATAATATTTTTAAGTAAATATATAATAATTGCAATCATACTTTTATATGATTTCAGAAATTTTGTTTTAATTTTCATTACAACAATTTTTCTTCGTACATAACTTTAGATTAATTCACAATCTTATAAAAAAAATTTATGTTGGGAAAAGAAATGTATACAAAATTTATTTTGAATAATATTTTTATTGTTTATTTTATGCTTTTATATTATTTCTGCAGAAAATATTAGTGACATTAGCAACGCGTTTCATATAATATAACTGAAAATTTTGGATAACGTCTGAAATATAGATTGCCTGTCGATTATGATTATTCGAACGATCAGCACCTCTGTTGACATTGCCGAACCCAGTCCGCATAATAGACAACATGAGTGAATACATCAGGTTGACCCAGAGCACATGGAATGCCCCAGGAAACAACACCAACAAGTTGACCGTTGCAAACGAGAGGACCGCCGCTGTCACCCTAAGAAATTGTATACTTTTAATTAGTAATTCTTTCAAATTGTCTCTTATTCTCAATGAGAATACGTGTAAAAAGTCACTTTTAGATGTATTATACATAAGATAAGGTAAGATACTTACTTGGCAGGCACCTCTTCCACGGCTGTTAAAAGTACATATCTGTTTAACAGTAGTGCTTGAATGCGCTCTTTGGCACTCAGAAGGGCTCAACAGCCTCACTTGGAGCCATTGAAGCGTTGGCGAAACGCCTGAGTTTACGCTGGTCTTTCCCCATCCGCTTACTATAGCAGTAGTTTGGCCATCGGCATAATTTCTACTCGCTAGAGGAATTGAACTTTGTATATTGCTAAAGGCAATCGGTTGTGTCAACTAGAATAAAAAGAATTTTTCAGATTGTTGTACAAGCATCACATCGCCGTACACGGTTCAGTTAAGAGTTATGCTTACAGTGATCACAGCGATATCGTCCCTGAGGTGGCTCATGCTGAACCCTGGATGCACTTGAATGCACTTGATTTGGTGTATTTGACCACCTCGTGCGCTGTTTGTTCCAGTTGCAACAGTCTGTGTACCGAATATTTTGATGAATTAAATAGAAATAGCAGAGTGAATTAGAAAAAAATGATACAAAGCGCTAGAAATGAAAATACTACCTCATTTCTAATTTTTTTATATTTTATTCATAATATATATATATATATATATAAGAAAAAATCAATAACCGAACAAATCGTTCTTAGTAGCTACTGTCATTTACGTACCATGGTTCTCCACTGACTTTGGGCCGGTATACAATGAGCAGCTGTGACGATAGTTCTCGCGTCAATAATAGTTCCTCCGCAAGTATGGCTGCCGCCTTGCCGAAGGGAGATTTGATATGGAAATTGTCCAGGCGATGCCAAGTTACCACCCACGATAGGTTCAGGTTCATCGCCGTATACTTCTGTAATTAACAATTTTAAGTCCATAATTATTTAATACTTCGCCTAAAGATATTTCACTTAGTATACAGGATTAGATCAAACTAGACAAAAAATTTCTCTATTATGTCGCGAACAACCACGTAAAACTATGAATTATTAAAGAATGTCGGCGAATAAATGTGTGAATACGCGGGACACGATGCAGTCTGACGGTAAGTCCGATTTATGTGTTATATACTTGTATACATTAAGACAAACTATCATCAAAAAGTTCTTTACTATTTTGCGAACAACCACGTAGATTTTTAAGTTATTAATTAAAAGAGATTAGTGAATTTTTTTTGACAGCCTTATATCAGACACCTATATGTTATAGTTGAAACATATCTATTTATTTTACTATATAGTTCTTCTAAATGTTATTTTTACACATTTCTACACGGATTTAATAATTAATATGTGTAACATTATAGAAAAATATTTTTAGAAAATGTGTTCCTATATATTATACTATTTGTATATTTTAAATTCTTTTATTTATTAATTCTCTCTCTCTCCCTCCCTCTCTATCTCTCTCTCACTCACACTCTGATTTACTATTTCGTACAATAAGCAATATTAGAATATGCTAATTACGCATTGCTTGAATGTAAGTTTTTTTATTTCTTTTTATCGAGTTTTGAATACTCACTGGCGATAACGCCGACAATCAGCAAAATTGCTAACTTCATTTTGTCAATGGCCGTAATTCGGTAACCAGGTCCACAACAAATTGCTATCTGGATACGTGGAACACTCAGTATTCCTTTTTATATCTTTGTGCTTGACCTTGTATAACAGCTGCTTTTATTTACCGCTATTACACTGGACGCACATTAATTACTTTATCGATTGTGTTGTTAATAATGTTTGCAGATATGCCTTATATTTTTTTTTGTGCATTGACGGTCGAGAGAAAAACACTTTTGCAAACTTATTACTTATTATGACTTATCGTATACTTCTTTCTTGTCGATGACTGAAGTATCATATATTCATACATATCTTTAATTAATTCTAGCTTTAATTCTATAGTAAATATGTAGTAAATATGTAGTAATTTAACACTTATTCTCATAAATTAATTAGTCTTGTCGAATAAGAGAATGATAATTGCTTTTTAATTAATAAAATTATATTTCATGCATAAAATATAAATTTATGTTTGTTCTATTATGTGTGGTAATAATATTAGACTAAAATATGACACTCTGTTATTACAGTCTAACTTTCACACACAGTATCTAAAAGAGCGTATATCATCACAAATACAATGTGGTAAAAATATTAGTCTTTATTTTCTTCTATTCGATAACACAAAGAGGATTCAGAATAAACACAAATAATATTCAGTACTGACATCACGTTATGTAAAATGTTATTTGTATTCATTAGGTAATAATTATCGAAAAATATGCTTTATTGCATGGTAATTATAACATAATTGTTGGAAAATGTTTTTTCTTGCCGCTGGAGTAAAACGGCTTGGTTACTGCGACGAAATACGAAAACCGCGGAAAGACAGGAACACGAGCAACTGATGTTCAATCAACTCCACAACACGTCGGAGTCTACAAGTTCCGGGGGATTTCAGTGGTCTCTGCCTTTCTATAGATATTCTGTAAGATTTGACCGATAGCTTGATGGATACCTTTTTTTGTTTCTGGAGTGACTAGTGATTTGTAGTCAGGTTGTTCGTACATATGGCAAGTATCGAGAGTTCGTTGTTCGAGCATAGAATTTATAGGCTCGAGTCTATACGTTGCAAATTGGTAAAAGGAAGTCGTTGCGATGTTTGAGTTTCGAGAGAGACTCTTCGCACAGTGGGGACAAATAGAAATTTACTGTTCAAAAATCGCTAGAAATCACAATTTTATAGCAATCGGAGCGATTTTTTTTTTAATTAAACGTTAATCAATGTAGAAAAAACTATCGAACCCGATTTTTTATAATATTCTTCTAAATGTTGCGATATTAATAAGAATTTGTAGAAAATTATCAAGTTTTGTGAGCCATTTAAATTGGAAAACTTTCCATCTTTTTGCTGCACAGTACAGTTTACTAAGGTTTTCAGCATGGCTGATTATGAATCTGATATAAAAATCAAAATTTGGCAGTTGACAACTGCTAATCTCGTGTCAACATAAACAAAACCATTACGTTTTAACACAGTATATATGTTGCAATAAGATTTACAAAGTCGTTCAACATAAATGTAAAGTCAGTATTAAGATCTGGTATTTAACAGCTATTTGTCAATCCCATAGCCGATTTGAAAAAAATGTTTCTGTAGCACAAAATGTGTCACTGTAAGGTATATTAGGTTTAGGTTGCTGAATACGAACTTAATTTTTATTAATATTGCAACGTTTAGAAGAATTTTTTAAAAAATTGGGCTCAAACATTTTTTTATATTGATTAACGTTTAATTAAAAAAAAATCATCTCAATTGCTATAAAATTGTGGTCTCTAGCGATTTTTTAACAGTAAATTTCTATTTGTCCTTATTGTGTGTCGGTCAGACAATTACGAAGTTGACCTCTCGATCCCTTAAATATCTTATGACTAGCAATAAACTGTCATTAAAGATAGCACGTTCTATGTGATTTTGACCGATTTATTTTCCGCAAACCTTAATTATCAACAAAATTGTGAATTCCAAATATCGAATTGGGGAATGTCCGAGGACGAGCCATAAATAAGTTACGATCTCTTCAACAAAATTGTAGCAAAACTTACTATTACGGGTATTAAACACGCTTTTTGAACTTATTTGTTGAAGAAAATTAGTTGAATGAAAGTTGGGATATATATGTGCGTTACTTAGAAGCGAGTAATTTTTTGGTAAATATATAATTTTGGTTATAATATCTATAGCAGAGAAATTTATAGCGGAAGTTTACAGCTAAAGCATTTTGTACTATTATTTATATTTTTATTGTGTCATTAAAAATTTTTGCTACGTTTCTTGTCAGATTTATTATTAACAATAAACTTTACTGACAATTTATTTTCCTGCGCTACTAAAACATAGTGAATTTGAAAAAAATTTATATAAAGAAAAGAAACTACATTATCCTCTCTGTATTTATGGCAAAAATTATAGAAATTTGTTTGCAATTTTTATTGCATTTCCTACATGTATTTTTAAATTAATCGTTGATCTTATATGAAAGGTTTAATTAGGAATAGAAATGTACATAAAATTTCTCTTGCATAATATTTTTTATTGTTTATTTCATGTTATTTTATCATACAATTCTTTGCAAAATAGTAATGATATCACCGACATTTCACGCGTGGCAAGTAAAATTTTAGGTAATATCTATAATTTAGATTGTTACCGTGATTAATCAACTATGACGACTGTCATCAACTGTCGACTATGATTATTCGTGTTATCAGCACATGTCTTGTGACTGCTTAATAAAATCCAAATAATAATAGACATTAGTGAATACATCAGCTTTACCCTTGGCACAGGGCGTAACCCACGAGACGACACCACAGAGCTCACCGTTGACCATAATAGGACCGCCGCTGTCACCCTAAGAAATTATATATTTTTAATTGCTGACTCGTTCAATTTGTCCTTAGTTGCCAATGAGGATACCTCTACATTACGTCATCATTTTCAGATGCATTTAGTAGATGATGCTATAAGACACTCACTTGGCATGCGCCTTTCCCAATTTTCTCCAAGGTGCATACATGTTTTCGATTGGTGAATGCATTACCATACGGTGTTCGCTTGTGTGCGGCTAGGCAGTCAGCCTGGCTCAAAACGTTCACTATGATCCATTTAAGTATCGGCGAAGGGTCTGAATCCACACTAGTCTTTCCCCATCCGCTTACCAAACCACGATAGTTGCCATCGCCATAATCCTTACTTGCTAGAGCAATTGGACGTTGGAGACTGTTTTCCGTGATCGGCGTTTCCAACTAGAGAAGAAAGTACTTCAGATTGTTGCGCACGCACTACATTTTCGTATACACTTAAAAAGAACTGAAAACTAAGCTTACAGTGATCACAGCGATATCGTCCTTCCAGCCATCTTCTCTCCTTCCAGTATAGCTTGGATGCAAGCGTATGCATTTGATCTTGTGTCTTTCTCCGTTTGACCCCCATCTGATAGTACCAGTCACAACAGTCTGCGCACCGAATAATTTTGCCGAGTTAAATAATAGTATTAGAATGAATTTAGAAAATGGCAATACAGCACGCGCTGGAAAAGAGAACTATCATGTCGTAAATTTTTGCATTTAGTATATATAATAAAAACAATAGTTTTCTGATATTCATATATTAATTTTCTTATAATGCAAAAAAGTTTTGGGTTAACTAAATATCTGATGAAAATTGGACGAACGAGAATTCCGGTTAAAGTTACCAGAATTTGGAGACCAAGATTCCTGATTAACTAGAAACTTTGTTGATTAACTAGAAATCTTGTTAACTTGAGTAGAATTCTGATAACTTCAATTCTGATTCGTTCGTATATCTCACCAAATATTGAATTAATGCAATCAAATTTTTTTGTCCGCGTATGTGTACAAGAAAAATCATTAATCGAATAAATCGGAGCAACTGCTTTGCACGTACCATGTATTCATATTCATTTTCATCCTCAACACAATGAGCAGCAGTGAGAACATGTCTGTTACTAATGAGACTACCCCCGCAAACATGAAAACTATATACTTGAAGAGAGACTTGATACACAAACTGACCGCTTCCGGCGTTGTTGCCACCCACGATGGCTTCAGGTGCATCACCGTATACCTCTGTGGATATTAATCTATAGATTAAATCTCTGATGACCATTTATTGCTTCATCTGGAGATGTTTAACTCGGTATAAAATAGCGAAACTATATCCCTATATCTCTTGTATAAATTTTTCGGTATATGTTACATTTGCATAATTTAAGACAATATAATAATCAACATGTTGTAAAAAAATTGTATAGAAATATACATATATATCTTTTTTTAATAAAGAGGTGTATATATATATATATGTGTGATAAAATTTAAACATTTTAATTTACTTCATTTATTAATTCTTCCTCTGTATCTCTTTCTCACTTGGATCTTCATAAAACAAATAATGCCAACATGTGTTAATTACGTTGCTTATATATAAGTTATTGATTCTCTTCGTACGTAGATTCTTCATTATCGGGTATTGTTTACTCACGTGCGGCAATGACGCCAAAAATGACGAACTTCAACATATTGATCATCGTAATTGAAGCATCGCCTTCAAAATGAATTACATTCTGGATACAATAGCGTTGCCTTTTATACTCGGTACCTGTGGCATTGATACTTGGCCTTGTACAACAGCCGACAGTGTTTGCATCGTGTCACAATGGAAACATAATATGTATTTTTCTCATTGAATTGTTAATAGCACCTCTGTAAACCTCATATTTGCTCGATGCATCAATATTCGAGAATAAAACGCAAATTTTACTTTACATTTTAAAGTATACTTCGCTTCTGCCAATAAAAAAGTACCACATTGTTTAATCACGCACACATATCACATTAAATAAAGAATATTTTAACATTTATTTGTACAAATTATTTCAATTCGCGGAGAAGGTAAATAAAAACTTCTTAATGTACAAAACTACGAATCGCATAAAATATAAAGCTGCGTTTGTCTTCAATTTATAAGAGTAGTGCAAGATTAAAATGTTTATCGTTTTGTTATCAAGTTGATCTTCAAAATCGCCTAAAGGTGTAACGTTATTAAATACAATAGTAAATATCATTCTTTGCTTCTTTTATTTAATTACACTGTGAGACATTGCAAGTCATACAAATGAGACGCATGAAAGCAAAAATCAATATTCACAAATGACACCGCGTTATGTAAAATGTTATTTCTAATCGCTTCAACAATGATTGTCGAAAGATACGATTTTTTGCAAGCTAATACTATTATAACATAACAGTTGGAAAGTATTCTTTCTTCCCGAGACCAAGACGGCATGGCTGCCGCGAATTCACGATAGAACAGGACAACTGCGGAAAACAGATATACGAACTACCGATGTTGCTGTCAATAAACTCGACGACCTGTCGAAGGTACGATCTTCGGAGGATTTCAGTGGTCTCCACAAGCCACTCCACAGGGAGATTCGTAACCGGTTTTTCTGCCGAAGAAGGTGTTGATCTGAAGTCAAGCTACCGACATATAGCAAGTTTCAGTAGCGGAATCTCGAGCATTCGTAATCTTATAGGCTGGAGACTATAAGTTGCCTACAATATACGTTGCAAACTAGTAAAAGGGAGTCGTAGCATCTGAGTTCCAAGAACGGTTGAGTAATCGCAAGATCGATTCCTTGAATATTTTGTGTGTAAATAGTAAACGGTTATTAACGCTATAAGACCTGGCTCAATTCCCCGTTCGAGTAAAATATTTACCTTTATAAAACAGTCTTAAACGAAGCTTCTGATGAGAAGTTTTGTGATCGAATAAAGTAAGCCATCAGAAAGTACGATTTTTTGAATGTTGCTTTATTATATACTTTTATGTCCCTTTCCAGTTATGAACGTGAAAAGAAATTTAGTTTTATTGACTAAATATTCAATGTTCGGGAAAAGGAATACGCACAAAATTTATTTTGCATATGATTAATTTTTATTGTTTCTTTTACATTTTTATATTATTCTGAGGGAAAATACCAATTATTTCACCGAAATGTTATACATTGAGAATTTTAAAGTAATGGAATATAGATAATATAGACGGAATATAAATGGAAGTAAGCATGGAATATAGATCGCCGGTCGACTGTAATTATTCGAATGATCAACATCTCTGTTGAGCTTGACTAATCCAGGTCCGATATGGCCAAACACCAGTGAATACATCAGGGTAACCTACGGCGCAGGGCACGACCCAGGAGGTCACACCACAGAGCTGCCCATTGATAACAAGAGGACCGCCACTGTCACCCTAAAAAATTGTATATTTTCCATTAGAGACTCGTTGAATTCGTTTCTAGTTTTCGAGGAAGATACCTGCATAATCCTTTCCAAATACATCAAGCATATAATAAGGTAAAACACTCACTTGGCAAGCACCTTTTCCATAAGCCTCAAAGGTACAAATATGGTTCGGGTTGGTGAATGCATTACTCCCTCTTCTCGGGTGTGCATTTAAGCATGCTTGCCTAGTCAGAGTATTCACTGGGGTGAATAGAAGGTTGAGCGAAACACCCGAATTTGTGCTAGTCTTTCCAAATCCGCTAATTATACCGCGATAACTTCCACTAGTATAATCCATACTGGCTAGAGGAATTACATTTTGGACATTGCTCATTGTAATCGGTCTTGTCAGCTATAAACAAAATATTGCAAATTGTTGCGCACGCATTATATCTTATTACATTACGTACTTAATGAGAATTAGAGACTAAGCTTACAGTGATCAAACAGATATCGTCCTTCCAGCCATCAGTCGATTTCCCAGTGTAACCTGGATGTACCTGAATACACCGGATATCGTAAGTTTGACCGGAGCCCCAGCGCGAAGAGATACTGCCAGTCATAACTTTCTGCGTAACAAATAATTTTGACGAGTTAAATAGGAAGATCAAAATGAATTAGAAGATAAAGGTATGAAGTCCTGGAGAGAAAAACTATCATGTCGCTAGTTTTCTTATATTTTTATATCTATAATATCTATCTAAGAAAAACATTCAATAATCGAATGTGATATTTCTGGTGGTAACTGTTACCTACGTACCAAGGAATTCTGGTTCAAATTTTCAACACAGTGAGCGGCGGTGAGGACATGTTGGGGGCTAATAATACTGCCCCCGCAAATATGCGAATTGCGGTACTGAAGAGAGATTTGATGTGGAAATTGTCCAGATGATGCCATGCTGCCACCCACTATGGCTTCAGGCTCATCTCCGTACGCCTCTGAGGGTAATAATTAAGTTTCTAATCGTTTATCTATTTGGAGATATTTCACTCCGTAAATAAATACATATTAGCTAAAAGACATTTGTGCATCCTTCCTTACAAGTTTCTCTTTTTTGTTACATTTACATAATTTTACAAATCCACATGCAATAATTAATATATGAAATTATAGGAAAATATGTTTTAAAAACATACATGCGTGACAAAATTTGCATATTTCAAATTATTTCTTACCATAAATTCTTCTCTTTCATTTAATATTTTATACAATATGTGATTCAAACATACGCTAATTACACTGTTTATAAATTGTTGATTAACAAATTTTGTTTACTCACGTTTGGCAATAACGCCGACAACTAACAGAATAGCTAATTTTATCATCTTAAACGTCGCAATTCAGAATTGACACCACAGTAAATTTCAATCTGGATGTAGGACTGTTCAGCGTTCCTTTTTATAGGCGATACTTGGCCTTGCATGACAGCTGAACTGACGTACATTGAAGATATATTATCATGCGTCACAGTCGCGGCGCAACGCCGAGTATCATACAAAACGACCTGATCGTGTAGCTTTTCTGGAATTTCGGGATCAATTGGTCTTCCGAGTCATCGAGCATCAAAAATCTCAAGCATGGAAACTATAATCGAAAATCTAATGAAAGTTTTCTTATAATGTTTAACATTATTATAGATTCCCGATAGCGATAATATATTTATATATTTTTTTTTCAATAATGTACATAAAATTATTAATAGCATTATAAACATCTATTTTGAAGAAGGATGTATTCATTAAGGCATGCCGAGTTTTTGATCCTCGATGTTAAATTTTTCTCAATTTGATACTTGGATATTTCAGCGTTCATTTATTAATGTTATTGAAACTTATCACATAATTACTTGTATAATAAGTATTAATATATGTACTTGGTTAATTATATTGATTTGATTTTTTTTTTAGAATATAATTAATTTAAAACATCTACATTTTATTTAAGTTAACATTTATTTCGCAATTTTTGATACTCAGCATTTTTCTATCTTTTGTAAGGACTGTTTGTTACGATCTCATTGCCTTTTGTATAGATTATTTAGGTACAAATTTTATTACATTAATTTCGCAGTAAAGAAAATATATGCATCTTTAGAATTCTGTGGCCAACTGCATTTTTTTATTATGGAATCATTAATTAAAATTCATTTTGTGTGCTTACTGCGCACAACGTTTGTATAATGTCCATTAATTATATTTTTATTATTGTTGAAAATTGCATTAATAATTTTATATATATCTGTGCT